AAAAAAAAAAAAAAAAAATTGTGAAACTCTAACCTGACGGTTCCGGTGACCGTCCCGTTCGGATGAAGTCCGGTTTTGGTCCTGTGGAGGCCTCGGCCCAGTGTTTGAAGGACTCTGCTCGCCATGTTTTCCCTGAAAGCAGCGGATGGTTTGTGGGTGGCTGCAGTCCTGACAGAGCAGCTGACCCAGAAAACCCTCAACTGTCATAACATGGTGACATTATGGAAGGAAGCGACAGATTTTTATTAATAATAGTGATGTCCATTATTATTTTAATAATTTTAAAACACTGAATCTATTTAAGTTGATTTTCTTCAAGCGTGCATATTTTAATAATTCAACAAAAAGACTTGTATTTGGTTTAATAGTAAATGAAACTGCACATATAGCCATGTCAAATTAAAGACATTAATAACAATGTTTATTTGTTAAATTTAAATATGGCTTTGTACAATTCTTGTTCTGTTTTGTAATAAAATGGCATCATGTTTGAATTTGTTRTCATTATTTTATTGGAAACTACTCAGAATAACCAGAGTAAATTACATGCAGGCTTTCCTACGCAAAAACTGGCTTATAAACAGATTTTTAATGATTGAAACAAAAACATTACACAACAGCTTTAAAGCAAATCGTGGCAGGTTGTTTATCATGAAGAGGGAGTTTGTTCTGGTGAGGATTCGGCTTCAGTAGAGGCAGCTGTGATGTTGAGCTCCTGCAGTTTTTCTAACAACGACGTCTCCTCTTCAAGTGGGAGATCAGACAGAGGTTCCATATACACAGTTCCTTCGACCCTCTTCCCCGTCAGTGGATCCACCACCCGACCCACTTTATACACGATTTCAGCCAGTTCATGCTTTACGTGTTTGGATCTGGGCTCAGGCAGAGCTTTGAGGAGGACGATGTCTCCCTCTGTGCACTGTCGCAGAGCATCGTGGGCGAAGTATGTCTTCCTCTTGTTGTAATACTACAAAAAAGAAAAGAATGCGAGTGGAAATAAATARAAACAATCAGAAAATAGCTGTAAARAAGCTGTATTTATTTACATTTTCACTGATGCAGAAATAACACATCCTAAAAGAAAAAAATTGTATAGGTCTACTGGACGGGTTCTTCTCTAATGAAACGTTAGAGATGTAAAAAATGGCAGGTTGGCGTTCCTGGATTGCGATGTCTCGGTTTCGGATGGAGGACGGTTGGAAACTGGCGTATATCGTAAGCCCACCCACACAGACCAATATTTGCGTTTTGACTCCCACCACCCACTGGAACACAAGTTAGGAGTGATCAGGACTCTGTACCACAGNCCAGACAATAAAAACAAAACAACATCCAACAGTAATAGAAATAAAAAAAGAAAATAATAAAAATAAAATAAAACATTTTGCAATTAATAATAAAAATACATAAACGCCCAACCCCACTCTCCAAAACACATAATTAAAAAGTTATTAGTCATTTTTACTCACACCTGTGTTTGTCCCTTTAATCAGGTGAATGAAGCCTTCGCTCCTCAGTACCTGGCCGTCGCTAAGGCTCTTGGTCTGGATCCAGAAAAAAGCAACGTTGACGGCGGAGCTATTGCTCTTGGACATCCCCTCGGTGCCTCTGGAGCACGTATCACTGCTCACCTGGTGCATGAGCTCAGGTGAGTGAGCCATTAACTACTCTTGCGTTTGCAAAAGTAAGGTTACGCAGCTTTAACGTGCACTCTGAGGCGTTTCTGACAACCGGCTTTGTTTCTCACAGACGACGAGGAGGGAAGTACGCCATCGGGTCCGCCTGCATCGGTGGAGGTCAGGGCATCGCCATCATCATTGAAAACTGCTGAGCAAACGAAGCTGATGGCTGCAGAAGGGTTTCCTGAATGTCCTGCAACACAAACCGTCCACTGATGTGAAATCAAATAAAAACTGGTCTAAGCTCAAATTATCACAAAACAGCTGTCCAGTGTCTCTGTGGCAAAAGAAAAAAAAAAAAACTGATCTAACTGTTGCCCTGCACTTGGTATGTGATTTCTGTGATTTTTGCAACAAAACACTTACATCTACAGTTGCCTTGGCAGCTCATTGAAGGTAAAGAACTGACTTTAAATTGCRGTTCTGTGCTCACTGCGTAACGTTTGTGAAACCAGATTTTTATGTGCCTAAAATACAGTGAAGKGTGTCTGATTTAGGCTAACACGCAATAAACCGTATGCCTTTGAATGCTCATGTTCACTCCATTTTAAAGGTTTAACATTGCCAGAGCCAAGATGATTGCATGAACTGATTTTTTACATTTGTGGAAAAGGATCCAAAATAAAGCGATCAAGAATGGAAGAGTCGTGCTTTGATGTTTTTATTATTACACTCTGTCATTTATTTATTTGTATGATATTTAGTCATTTCTAAACAAATTTTATTGTGAGTTAATATTATTGTTAGGTTAATCTATATTCTGTAAAGGATTTTATTTATTATCACTAGTGGTCAAAGAAATTGTTACATTCTGTTAGTCTGTTTATATTGTTAGCATTAACCATTTGACAGATTTTTCTAAAATTCTCTAGCACACAAAGTAATTATTGCATGTAGATATAACAAACTTTCAGTCAGCCCAGTTAAAGATGACTGTCACAACCACAATTGACAGAAAACACAAAAAATATATAAATCAGTCAATTTAACAAATACCTCGTTAAAAATGTATTTTTTAAATTCAAATGTCCTCTTGAACAATTTTTTCTGCTAATTAAAATGCAAATTATTAAACATTTTTAATAAAGCAGCATAAATAAAATAAGTATGCTAAAAACAAGAAATGGTTAGTAATTATAATACAAACACTTAATGGTACATAAACCTAATGTTAATTAAAAAATGTCTTTAAAAAATAAAATATATCAGAAACGTGCAGAGGTGTCAAAAATATTCACATTCATTACTTAAGTAGAAGTATAGATACTAGGGTTTAAAAATACTTTTTTGGAAGTAGAAGTATCAACTCGAGCTTAAGTCTAAAAGTACTGGTTTTAAAACTACTTAAAGTACAAAAGTAATGAACAATATAAAAAAGGCCATTAAAGATAAAATCTTATGCTGTGCCACAGGGTTTATAGCCCCCCCCCCAGAATTAACTGACTAGACTTAGCCCGGTAAGGGAAACTAAAATTGAGCGGAACTGCATAGGAATGCAAAGGGCCAGGCTAGACTACTTGTTTCAGCCACGGTCATCTTCATACTAGGCTACATCTTCTACCTCAGTGGTTCCCAACMTTTTTAGACTTGTTTACCCCAAGCCATTTTGTAATACCACTAGTTCCCCTTCAGTCAAACGTAAGAATGATTCTCCAAAACTATAATGTACAACAACTGTTAAATGAAAATTGTTTATTTAACCCCCTAGAACATTTAATTCTCAGGCATTTTATTCTTTTCAAAGAAAGATTAAAGATAAAGATAAAGATAAAAATGTTGCCTTGAAAGTGAATAAGTAATTAAATAAGTAAGCCAGGTAATGGAAGGTGCAGAAAACAGCAATGTCCAAAATACATCAGAAACTCACCCAAATGAGCAAATTCTGTGAGATTCTGCTTTTTATACTGAATTCCATTTTGAGTCAAATCAATAATTTCCGCATTGTTATTTTTACTTTTTTTTTTTTGTGCACCTGAATTTCGTACCCCCTGTAATATGCTCGCATGACCCAAGGGGTTCTTGTACCCCTGGTTGGGAATCTGTTTGTCCAGCTGGAGTGTGATTTGATTTGTGTCACACAGGTGTGATGGAGTGAGTCAGAATGTTATATATTTACACTTATTGACCACAATCAAAATCACTCTATCCATGGGCTCCATTCATCTGGATAGATTTATATTTTTTATTATTTTTTCTGAATAATGAAAAGATGGAATAAAAACAAGTCAAAGTTAAATAGAAATGAAATACTTTTTGCCTTTTTAAAAAGTAAGGAGTAGAAAGTACAGATAATTGAATTAAAATGTAAGAAGYAGAAGTAAAAAGTAGGCTGAAAAATAATTACTCCACTAAAGTATAAATAGCCAAAATTACTACTTAAGTAAAGTAACAAAGTATTTGTACTTAGTTACGTGACACCTCTGGTAACGTCACGTGTCTTTAGCAAAATAGCAAAACTACAATGGACTGCAAAGTCCATCACGCTTTTCAAGGTGTACGTAAAGACGTAAACGTCATCGTCCAGCGTCCTTATATACGTAACATCCCCGGATGTCGGTCTTTTTTTCATAGCAAAGGTAAGAGCCTTGCCTTCCTAAAGTCGGTGAAGTAAAAATCTGCTGTCATCCGTCGATCATAATAAAAACTGCAACCTCCAAGTGTACCGGATTGAAAGTTTATGCTTAGATTATGCGTCAGATAGCGTTATTACTGTGATATATCTATTATATATGTTTAAAAATGAGCCGGAGCGCTTCGATGCTTGTAGGCCGCCGGCTAGCCTACGTTTTGTACTTACAGTCAGCCACACGCTGATAATGGAAACGTGTCTTTGTCCATTTATTCTCTTTCTGTTGGCTATACCGTGAAGTTATCATATGTCCTGTTTTTTTTTTTTCTTACAACATTATAATTCACAGAATTGTTGACTTTTAAGCGGCTGTGCTAATGTGTTGCTAACAGGTTGCTAACGTACTTTTCATGCTGCCTGTGAATCTGTAGCTCATATATAAACCTCTGAAATCAGTACAATTTGTATTTTTAGTACGACGATTTTAATGCACTATTAAAGTTTGAAACTAAAGTTTAAWTAATAACCTACACTGTAGCTGGTCTATAAATATTATAGCAAATATATTTATGAACACCTGTTTGTTTTTGTCAGATGGCAGAGGGAGACAAAAAAAAGTCTGCCAAGAACAGGCACGGGAGCCGGAACCCRCTTCTGGCCCGGGGCATTGGCCGCTACTCCCGGTCTGCCATGTACGCCCGCAGGGCCATGTACAAGAGGAAAACCAAGACCACAGAGACCAAGGTATGGCCCAGTCCATAACGTGGAGCATGTACTAATTCAAATGCATGATGCACTACTGTTTAATATCTGACCCTGAATTGTTGTCTGTTTTAGATAGAGAAAAAGATCAAGACTAGACCACAGGCTACTGTTGTCAAGCCAGTAGGAGGTGAAAAGAATGGAGGCACCCGTGTTGTCAAGCTGCGGAAGATGGTGAGTGACTTTTACCGTGCACTAATTTCACATGACCCCTGGTGTATATTTATCCTCAACTTCAGCTCTTCTGAAGATTTTCCTTTAATTTTAGCTCCTTTCATACCAAAATTTGTATTTTAATGTGCATTGTGTCTTAAAMGCATCTAGTAAAACAGGTCAGGTGGACATAAAAGTGTTGGGCCTCAAAAAGAAACTACAGCACATAAACATCTGAAAAGTTTTAAGTATTCAGCAAAGTAAAATCTGAGAGATGCACCGTGCTTTAGTTGATTATTTACCAAGTTTTTTTGAGATTACTGCTCTTTGTGAATCTCTTGATGCTAAAATACTGTTTTTGTCAAACTAACTGCAGAAATAAAAAAAGAACAATAGGCCTCATGCAAGAACTGTTCGTACGCACAGATTTGTTCTTAAGTTGTGCGTACGAGTGATTGAGGAG